TGTAAGGCCACTGGATCTCCCCAGTGACAATCAACGGCCATAGCATTTCGCTCTAGCATACGGTCCAAACAGAAATGAAAGGAGAGAATGTTTTTTTGAAGTAACAGATCTGTGGCACTTTTTTTTTTTTAATTGCCAGAGTGTTTACACACTCAACAGAGAGATGTAAAACAGACGGAGAGTGAGAGAGAGGCAGAAAGCACTTCCCAATGGGGCATGGTCACACCAAATCCCTTCTCCTCAATTTCTCCATCCTGTTGGGATTTGGGGTATGCATGCACATATGCCACAGTATTTTTCAAGCACCAGGCTGGGATTTGAATCATAGTTGGCCATGTGGGATCTGACTCCTTTAACCACTCAGCTGCAGGCCAACCCACAAAGAAACTTGATCTTTTTACCTCCTAAAAGCAAAGCTACTAAACCTCCAAAGTGTTAATTACACTTGGGATTTAGTCTTTTATCAACAATGCCCAAAACCTCTTTGTTTTACCTTGGATTTTAAAAGTCTTTCTGATAAAGATATGGTTACAAATTCCCACAGATGTCTTAAGAAGAATTTAAATTTAACTCACATTTAAGTTGGGGAAGAAACAAACAAGGTTAAAAATAAAGAAGTAGAAAAACTGCCTAGAAGACTCTAAGGAAGAGTAATCTGTATAAATAACTGTAAGTACCAGTATAAATTTAGGTATTATTTTAGGTATGCTAATCAGGAAACAAGATAATTTTAAGTAGTAAACAATCTTCCATATTATGGCTTGGTTGTTGAATCTACCCAAAGTGCTTTAATTTCCAAATAATGTGTAATTTGTGTCATTAAAATCCTTTGCAGGAGCAAGATAAATAATGGCATTGATTTAAAAAAAAGATATTTTAGCTTTTTAAAACTTTTGAAGAACAATAAAAATATTCTAGTGATATTAACTAACGAGTAAAATGATAGATAGGTTTGTCAACTAAAATATGTATGACAAACATGTTTTTAAAGAAGATTCTAACATACCTAGATGTTAAATATTGTGTTTGTGACTACTAATCATTTTTACACTGGTAGAAAAATACGTAAGAAATCTACCACTTAAGATTGAACAGAAAAAGTTTTAGTCTTGTTTATCTCAAGCTGATTAGTTAAACAGTTTTCTTTTTCCCTTTTCTTTGGCTATAGGGCATGTATAGTCACTGGACAGAGACAGAGAAAGAGAGGGAGAGAAAGTGAAAAATCACCCCCCAGAAGAATGGTCATGCCACAATCCCTTCTCCATTCTCTTGGGGTTTGGGATGTGCACACACACATGCTGGCATGTTTTCAAGCCACCAGGTCCAGGACTCAAGCCACACCGTTAGCCACATGGGATCCAGTGCCTTAACCACTAGGCCACCTGCTGGCCCCAGCAATCTCTTTTCTTAGCTTTTTGAGTGTACTTATCTACTCCTACAGACAAAAGGAAATTATTTAGAATGTAGAGCCTGAATGACAACTTTTAAAAAATGAAATGATCCATGGGGCCAGCAGATGGCACAGCGGCGTGGCCACACACCCCCTGCGGGGAGTGATTTCAGTTTTCCTCACTATCTGTCTTTCTCTCTCTCCAGGGAGAGCTACAAACAAACAAAAAGAAAAGGAAGTGATCCAGAAAGAGATGAGAGTCGCCAATACCCATGAAGGATAGCATCTAATAGAGACAATACCACAACATTCATTTGTAGGTAACAGAATGTCTACATAACATTTGAAACTCTCTCAGCCCCAAAACCACTGTTTACTGTTTTGTTTTTGATAATGAAACATGTCACTGTCCTGCTTCTGATAATGAACGTTATCCCTTGCCATTTCCAACAATATTAAGCCTTGTGAGTAGAGCGGCTGTAGAGACACTATAAAGGTGTAGCAGGCATTTCATTTTTGGGGGAGAGGTTTTTGCTATAGGGCGCGTGTGCTCGCCTGAGAGAGACAGAGAGATAGAAAGCGAGAAATCACTCCCCCAGGGGCGATGGCCACGCTGCAATCCCATCTCCTCCATTCTCCTCTCAAAATCTTGGGCACGCACGCACATGTGCCCGGCATGAGTTTAAGCAACCGGGTCCGGGACTTGAACTGTGGCTGACCACATGGGAGTTCAGTGACAAAGCCATTACGCTAACTGCTGGTCCCAGGGGCATTTCTTGAAGGCAGGCTTGTCACGCACAGGTGCTCACAACCTGCGTGGCTTTCTTGGTATCCCAGTGTTGGGCTTCTCGTGATCCCAGGCTGGACACTACCCAATGGTCAGTATCTCCTGGAATCCCGGAGAGGTATTCCCCAGCAGGTGATACACTCTCAGTACTTCCTTAGGATCAGCTTCTCTTGAACCCATAAACTTCATCACCAGTGGACCAGTTCAGCCTCCTGCAATTAGGTTGGTTCTCAGCCCTGATGGATAAAGCACAGAGCTTTGCCAGATTTATTCCTTCGCTGGGTGCACTTCCTTGGCCCTAGTATAACGGCTATTTCATGTATCTCTTGATTCTGTATTCTTTGGAGTTTTCTTTACGCTTGGTGATCAATCAATTCCTATCATTCTAAACTCTAATTATAGTTAACATTTCTTACTTAAACTTTGCTTGTTAAAATTACTATGTGGTTTTGTTTTCTGACCCAAGACTAACACAATTATTTCAGGACTCTTTAGACAGTAATCATCATTCTGCTTCATGTTTTTACCAAGAGTGAAAATGAAAAGACCAAGAGTATTAGAGTAAAACATGTTAACCCAACATTTCATAAGTAGACCATTTAAAAATTCTCCAACAACAACAACAAAATTAATTGTCAGAGGATGTATGTACTTTCCAGAGACAGAGAAAAATTGTAAGAGAGAGAAAAAGTATCCTCCAATGAGGTATGGTTGTGCCACAATCCTTTTTCCTCCTTTTCTCCATCCTGTCAGGATTTGGGGCATGTGTATACATGTACCCAGCTTGATTTCAAGCTACTGGGGTTGTAATTCGAATTGCGGTTTGGCCAACTCAAATTTGATAAATAATTCTTACCTTATTTTTAGCCACCTCAGCTGCCATCACTTCAATCTGACCTTCATAGGATTTGATAGCTTCATTTACAGCTTCGAGCTGTTGTTTATAAGATATATGCTCTCTCCTGAGCTCTTCCAACTCCAGAGTGATTGCTTCAACTTCCTATAAGAAACACAATATCCGAAGATTCACAGCTTTTAACTACTGAAAAATTAATATGTACGGGACAACAAAATAATGTTCTCTTGCAAGTAGATCCTACACCTAAGTTACCACTCAACTACTAGCATTATATGTTAAGCAACTTACCGGGAAAAGTGAGAAAATAGTTTATTATTTTAAATAACAACAACAAAAATATTCACAGGTATGTATAATTTTTATGGCTTTGATGAAATTTGCACAAATTATTTCCTTTATTCTTTTATTCCTACAGGAAAAACTATATAAATTTCTATATAATAAATAAGTTTGCTAAGGTGTACTTTTCTTTTTAAACAAAACTGCTCAATTGGCAAACAGGTAGGTTCTCAAATTCCTTTCCCATTATAGCCTTTAAAATTAGGGAAAAACAGTTATATTCACAGAAGGTATGTACATTCACAAAAGAGGGAGGGAGATGAAGAGAGAGAGAGAAAGACCCTCCTAATGGGGCATGGTCATACCGTAATCCTTTTTCTTTCATTAACTTCTTCCTGTCAGATTTGGGGTACATGTGTACATGCACTTACAATGGTTAGCAAGCTACCAGGCTAGGATGTGAACTTTGAGTAGCCACGTGGGATCTAGCTGCCAATGCACAACACTTAACCACTGTATTATGGGGCTGGCCCTCCTATTATACTTTTAGTCCATTAGAAAAACATGTGTACAGTCTATAGACATATTACCCCAAAGATGTCCAATCTTTTTCAATTTCAGAAGCTAAGCTGCTTGAATGAGAGAAAATGCTTTGTACAAACATAGCTGTATTCCATGTAATAATAGAATTTTAGGCTAAAAAAAGAACTGTGGAGAGTATTAGATGAAATTGTAAAGACAATGGTTAAGAGCCATTGGAGACAAACTTGGGTTCAAATTCAATCTTGGGCACAATTCAAAACATAAAAGGTTAACACCGATCTGCCACTGAACACTGAGGCCTTGTAAATACAATGCATTATCTTATATTCTCATAACGTACATTCTCATAGGTGGTTACCAAACTGAAGTGTCAACTCATTGAATGTCTGATATAACACAGCTCCACATTATATAATCCAGTCCCGAAGGAAGATCCACTCCTACAGAAAGCATTTGCCCAAAAGGCAT